AAAGGAGGACGGCGCTTTCCTGAGAAGGGGGTGGGCCGGGGCAGGCAGGATGGGGTTTCGAGGTATACAGGAAAAAGTGCAAAGGTGAGGTAAAACCACAGGGTGAAGCCAGGATTAAAGCTCTGCAGTCTAGCCTTTCAAGTTAGAAATGCAGTCTACTTATTTTCACAATGCAAATCTATTTTATGAAGTTTTTATTTCTGGGTCCAAGACTCTGGGATTATACATGTTAAGTATCTAGAAAAGATCAGCTTTCAATGAACACCCATTAGGTACTAATTTGAATACTAATTAAATAATGTTCATAATTATCTGATAATATTCATCGGGCAAGAAGGATAAAACTTTGACAATGGGCTAATAAACAGGTACATTGCCCCCTGCCCTCCCCCTCTGCCCACAACTTGCACATGGGCAAGCAAGCAAATAGGGTAGCCCACTGGCAAGCAAGATATGCTGGGGCAATCCAGCACTGCGCTGCACGGCACGGCACGGCACGGTCTAACAGCTCGGGAGGAAAGCCAGGCTAATGGGACTGGGAAATGATCGTGCCTAGTAAGGACATCAATCGAGCATCCGCTGGCAATTGGCCGGCTTCCTGCGCACCGTTACGAAGCAAGAAACGGGCTCACGCAAGCACGTGGGTCTCTCTCTCTCTGGAAGCCCTCCCATAGCAGCAGCAGCAGCAGCAGCTTGACTCAGCTAGATACAAGATTAGCACCTTCACCTGGCAGTTAGTCTCCATACTCCAGACCCAACCTTGGCAAATATCACTTGGAGGGTGTTTCACAAAGATCCAAAGTTGAACTTATCTCTAACTTGGACTTAACAATTATGGAAAGCCGTTAGCATCCTTGAAAATATTTTGTAAAAGTTATTTTAAAAGGCATAAAATGTTGATTCAAATCATTTATATTTTCTAATATCATGGGAGATTTCATGTTCTTGATGTGGAATTTATGAAAAGTCTAAAATACTTCAATTTTTGCTTTTGAATATATTTCATTATATGGCTACAAATGGCTCTCCATAATATTTAAGTCCAGTTAAGTTTGACTTACAATCTTTGTGAAACACCCCCCTAATATGTAAATACTTCTCCGAAACATGCTCCTGTGACGATTACTCTACAATCATTTTTTCAACACTAATCAAATTAATACTTTCAGCCCTGTACTCAACACTACACCTAACACTAAATACGATAACAACCCTAACACTTTATCTTCTTAGAGATATATCCATTAGAAAATAAAAACAAGAGCAGCTGAAAGTATGACAGAAGGTTGATTTGAACAAGCAAAGGACTTCATAGTCAAAGACTATCAAATGTTAAAGGAAATCTCATCCCAAGAAAATAACTTTTAGTTATTTTGAGAGATTTATTATATTCCTGCCCATTAATCTACAAGGATTCCCAACCAAAGTGGATGAGAGAGGTATAATGCAAGATATTCTTAGTATAATTTTTCTCAGTTTCTCAGCACGACATGGGCATCACCATTTTCTTGATAACGTAATGTACTATGCGAAGTTATTTATCAGGTAAATGTATTTAAATTTATGGATGCTTCCTTCTCAGGTGAGTGTGGTGATGAAATTTCTCAATTAATGCTAAATTATCCTTTGCATACTTTCATACTTTGATTTCATATTACCCGACACATTTCTGACCTCCAAGACCTTGATTGGGACGTTGGCTCCTGTTCCTTTATGTGTTTTACAACACACTGTGGTCTGATGGAGAGAACATCATCATTAGATCAGGAAAGGGCAATGACCTTTAGGCTAGGAAAGCTCATCCAATGTCTTCCATCTATGCATTTGGCATAGACCATAGAACATTAGAAGGCGCAATGGCTCAGTGGTAGAGCAGAGGTCTCCTAACCAGGTTCAAAACCAAGTCGATGCGCTAGTGCCCTTTGGTAAGGCATTAATCCTCATTACCGAGTCTCTTGGAGAGGACTTAAAGCTGTCGGTCGTCTGTTTGCTTACGTACATATCAAAATACGAAGGAAACTTAAGTTTTGGTGCAGAGATTACTCTAGGATAAGAGACCAACAAGGTTGATACGAAACCAACAATAAACCACCAAACAAAGAATCACTTTACCTTGAATGGTCTAATATCAGTCAGTTCGGAATCAGTTTCGAATCACTTTAGAATGGGTTTAGTGGTGTGACAGAGGTAATATTTAGCTTATGGTTGCAATACGGCGGATTCACAATCCACAGCGATACTAGTGTTAGGTCGATTTCAAGTGATACATCATGGGAAAAAGTCAACAATTTTTTTTAGCTGTGACATTGTTATAACCTATGAGATAAAGGGGATTTAATCAGAACATTGGTTAGGAAGGTTTGAATAGCTTATCCAAAGTATAAATGAAGTGCTGATTAAAAAATATCAGTCTTATTGGTCTACCGGTACTCACAACATTTTGGTCATTTTGGCCACTTTTTTCAATGAATGCCATTCTAGCTCTCAAAAGACAAGATAATTTAGCTACGTTCCAAATTCTTCTAGTGGTTGTATCCTAGGCAGGGTTAAATGACCTGAAGAAGCAATGAAGTTGATTGTCCCAGAGACAAGGACAATGCCTGATGGGGAGTAGACTGAAAAGGGGATGTTTTGACGGGCTGGTTACTATCGGAACGGTTACTACTGGAACGCCTATAACAACGCCCCCAAATGCCATCTCGTCTATGCTTCTTGAGAATTTGCTTGTCTTTTGGGGCTCTTAGTCTTGTGTCTAACTTTAGAGGGGTATTTATAGAGGCAGGATCGACAAAAAACAGAGACAGAGACAATACCCTTCTCAGGGATGACGTCAAACGGGAATGTCGTAGATGCAAGATACATTAGAGGCAAAAGCAATGTTCATAAATATCATATGATCTCTGCTTAATCAATTTCACTTATCCTTTTGATTATCAGACTAATCTTGGTAGAAGGATTCGTTTGAGTCTCACTAGAGAAACAGAAACAAAAACAAAAAAAGAGAGAGAAACCTTGAGACTGAGAGAGACAACTACAGAAACTATTTCCAACAGGGAGTATGTGCCAAAACTGGGATGTTATGACGTTATGATTACTATCAGATCTCCTAAAACAACTATCTCTAATACTATCTTGTCTGCGTATCAGGTAGTTTGCTTGTCAGATAGTGTTTTCACTTATTTATAGTCCATACATCTAGACAAAATAGTGAAAGGGAGTCGAGGTAGACGAGGGGATAAAATGGAAGAGCACAAAGGAGAATAAAAAGAGTGAGACAGATCAGATCAGTCAGTCCGCAGGTCCCCATAGAAGCCATATTTTGTTCCCAAACCCGCTTGACTAGTTCAGTTTATGAATATGTAGTGGCTAGGGACAACAATTTTTCAAATGAGCCTATGAACTACTTAAAATTAACAATTTTTCTTGATTTACATATCAAATAAAAGAGGTGGAATCATAGATTTGTGACATTTTGTCTTGTCTGCAAAAAATATGATTAAGTTGATGAAAAATGACAATATAAAAGGATCATTATTTGAAAATGAAACTAATATACAAATGGAAAATACAGTTTTTAATATTTATGAGCCAGGTTGAATTTGAATCTAGTGCAAAGGGCAATATGTCTACTTTCCAGGATTCCAGCAAAATATAACCAAAGTACACATTGTGTCCTTAAAAGGTAATTTCCAGCACTCTGATTGGTTCCTTTGTACACCCTTCCATAAAATAGATTGAAATGTTTGCCCACAGCCAGGACCGTGTTTGCACAAGTTGATAAGAGGTCAATCAGCAGGTTGCATATCGTTTCAAATATCGTGCCCTGCAGGGAAATAAATACACAGGGATCAGGATGAATTAGCCCCCGAAATGCCCCAAAGATCCCCCGAAAGTCATAAAAGAGCCCCAAAAAATTTGCAAAGAGTTCAATGCAATTATGCAAAACAAATCAAACAGTGGCATTTTTATGCAAGCAAGCGTGAAAAGTAGCCCCCCAAATTTGTTTAATATATTTTTTTCCCTGGTGCCCTGACTTGCAAAGTGGCCTAACCAACCTATCACAGAGCTAGGATTTTATCACAACTTCAAGGCTGTATTTTGTACTTTGGTTTAATATTGGTGGATCTGTCATGACTTTTACCAATATTTTGAATATCATATTGTGAAAGAGGAATCTCCAATGCTCTCATACATATATGTGTTTAGTTGGTGGCTCATATACTTTCTTTACTACATGTATGTCTTTTCACTACTCTCCAGGGGGGGGGGGGTACTCACGATTTGGTTTGGACGGGGGGGGGGGGGGGGTGCCACTCAAGCCCTGAAACCCCCTATTAAATTTTAAGGGTCATTTGGGGGGATTTTTCTCGAAGTAAAGCTCATTTTTCACAATTTTTCAGAATTGTTATTGTTGAAATTTTGAAAAAACAACCCATTCTTAATTTTGTTAAAAATGGGACCCATGTGTAGGAATTTTTTAAGTGACCCATTAGAGTAACACCCCCATATGTCTTAATATGTGAGTACCCCTCTCCCCCCCCCCCCCCCCCCCCCCCCCCCCCCGGGACTACTTTAAATCTTTGTAAAGAAAATTGTTATGTCCATTTTTTATCACCTATTTCTAACCACTTATTCTAAGAATTATATTATACCAATACTTATATGCTAGATGATCAACCTTTTCTGATCGATTCCGTAACGTTTCTTTCACAATGCAATCGCATGACCATAACTGGCCTTTATCTTTAACAGGTTTTGTCTCTCTTATTTTTCATATGAAAGAAGAGCAAATAAGCTGTTGAATGTTGAGTACATTAACCAAACAGTAATTTGGGATTATTGAGTAATTTATCCATAAATGCTTGGTTTCCTTTTTTTTTCGGGGACACCCTGTACACTGCCTCTTTGCTACTTGGTTATAAAATACATCTCAACTTACCTCAGACATGAGATCAGGATGGATACACTTTGTTGAACTTGGCGGAGCTCTTAAACAGCTCATGAACAGGATACCGTAGCCCTTGTCCAGGCTAACAGTTAATCTGCAAAGACAATGCAAGATAAAGAAGAAGGGTTTTAGAAGAGACCAACTTGCCACAGAGGCACAGATCCTGTCAATTTTGATCGTCAGCGCCGAAGCTCTCGGAGGGTGATGAAGCAGCCTTCTGAAGTGATGTAGCATAAAACGATGATGGGCCGACGACAGATCGCTGGCTGGTGAGGACCCGGTGAAAGCTCCGAAGATTCCCCTGGTAGGCAGCGGGGCGGAGGTGTTGACGGGTCGGCAGCGGGGCCTAGCAGACAATTATAATGTGGTACCTCTTTTGTGTCTAATCAGGCTGAATTAGTCAAATTTGCACACCTGCAGCGGCAGGAAGGGGTCGGTTCTTACCGAGTCACGGTGCGTTCGTTCGATGCACCCAGGTGGGATGTGAGTGACGGCTAATGAGAAGCACGAAAGGATGGTTGGGGAGGAAGGGGGTAAGAGGTAGGATAAGACAGAACATACAGAAAGCAAGAGATTGAGTGAGAATTAGAGAGAGAGCGGGAGACCGAGAGGAGAAGGAGAGATAGAGAGAGGAAGGGGGTAGGAGGTAGGACTAAGACAGAAAATACAGTAAGCAAGAGATTGAGTGATAATTTAAGAGAGGGAGAGGCTGAGAGGATGAGAGATAGAGGACATTTATTAAATGGTGGCAAAGGGAGAGGGGGTTGAGATAGGATAAGACTAAGACAGAAAATATAGTAAGCAAGAGATTGAGTGAGAATTAAAGAGAGACGGAGACTGAGAGGAAAAGGAGAGATAGAGGAATTTATCAAATGGTGGCTAAGGGAGAGGGGGTTGAGATAGGATAAGACATTTAGAGAAATATGGAAAGTTATAGAATGAGAAAGAGGGGTAGGAGAGAGCCTGGAGGAAAATTGTGGGAGAGGGAGAGAGACAGAGAGTAAAAAGAGGATGTATCATTATTGGAAGGGGTGTGAGACATGCATACCTTTAACCTAAGAAAAGAGCGGTAAGGAGAAAAGAATAAGGAGATCATAATAGGTTGACAGAGGAAAAGAAAGGATATTCTAAAAGAGTGAAGACAAAAATAAATCGAAATTTAGACAAATTTTAAACAAAGATAAGAAGGTTAGGTTTTTATTCTTTTCTACTTCATTTTAAATGGTCTTTTGATCCTAAGATGTCACGAAGAGGACAAGCTCTTCCTCTTAAAGATGCAGATCCAGTTTCATATAGATTGGCGATCGCCTACCAATGACTAAAACCATATTTCTCTGTCAAAAAATAATTTATCACACTATACACGTGAATCGCATTCGCCAGCTCTGGTTTTGACAATGGTTTTGTTGATAATTAAAAATAGCCCATGTAAATAAATATGTCCTCAGTCAAAGTCACATTCTACTACCGGTTATTTGTTTCACACACTTGCGGTAGAAGTAGAATTTCATCCTGTACTTTATAAAGTATTTATAGAATCCAACGCTTCCTACATTTCGCACTATATTTACATCATGCACTTCCTATACCTCAATCAATTCTAACCTTGACAAATATTTGCAGTTTCTATTGCTTATTATCATTTCTGTCACAAAAGGCCTGTCTTCATCAGCTCGAGTTTGCCAAATAACCCGCTATTTTCAGACCCGCGATATAATCCCGAAGCCCAAAATTGCGTCTTCACCAGACCGATACGCTCATCACTAACTGGCTAGGACGGAAGCAAATTAGCCCGCTATTTCCCAAATAGCGTGATAATTTGGAGACAAGACCAAGATTTCTCTTGATATTTTCTCGACCAAATATCCCGCTAATTGCAACTGCGGCCTGATGAGGATGCATATTAACTGGTTAATCTGCGATCAGGTTAGTTGAAATAGCAGGTTATTTGGCAAATTCGAGCTGATGAAAACAGGCCTTAGTTCTGTGCCATTGAAGTGGGTGGATGGTGTGTAAAGGAAATAGCAACAGGATACCCATTATAATAAACAGTACAAAGGAACATGTTGATCTAGTCATGTTCAAGATTGATTTTACACATCAGATCAGAATTCCTGGCGCTAAATGATTCATGACATCAATGGAGAAAACTTAGGGTGCGTTACTGCGTTCGAGTGCTTTTGGAAGCGAAGCATCGAGGTACAGTATGGTTCGCCTTGGCCCGTTTCTGGAGCGGTACGGTACTGTGCGGTTTGCTTTATGAGCTTCCAAATGCCTCCTCTGGCGCTGTACCGTATATGGTACGCTTGAAAGGGTCTTGGTGTTTTTAAAGTGGGCTGGCTAAGTTTTGTACGGTATGTACCAAATGATTACCTGGCCTGTGACACATAATAAGAAATGCTATAACATACACTTAGCCAAACTTTAACTTCACTTTAAAGGTGAAGTCTACCCTGATATTAAGTTGGTTTTAATAGAAGAAGACAAAGAGAGGAACAGATCGATCAAAGTTTGAGAAAATTCTGATTAAAACTAAGAAAGTTGTGAACTTTTGAAGTTACGATCAATCAAACACAAAGTGGCAATACTGTGACGTATCTTGAGAGCTCCTCTCCAATTTGCCGTGTACGTAAAATTTAACTTGCTTTGTTATTGATGAAGACATAGGGATTGTTTTAAAAAAGCATTTGAAATAATTACATTTAGGGTGCAGTATGATTGAAATTTTTCGGATTTTTCTACAAGTTGACAGACTTTAGCCCAACTTAAACACAAACTTTCATACTTAAACCTTAATTCAACTTCTGAAAAGTCTAACTGAATAGAAACTTAACTGAATTCAACCTGTCTAACTTTAACTCTAATAAATTAAACCTGTCTATCTTTAGCATAATTTGAACCTCTTTGACATCAATGATGATCTATCGTTAAATGCAATGAATCTTTACAGTCTGGCAAGCCTTCAAAGTGTTATTAAAAAAGGAGGACCTTTTTTAGTAAAGATCACACCTCCCGAAACCGAGAATGTCATTTGCAACTAAGAAAAAGAAAAATGAATTATAGATGACATTCAGAGAAGCAATTCCCTCTTGGTAGATAACCGCTGAAAGTGCTATCCACAAGACATCCCACGGCCCCCCTGAACCCGCAACATTTCCTCTGATCTTGCTTTAGTCGCACATACACCAAATGACAATCTCCACTACTTCCTCTGACTGTCAGTATCACTTTAGGATTACCAGCAAACGGTGATCTCTCCATTCCAAGCTAGCTAGCTGCTATCTACTAAAGTATCCCTTTCATATATTGGAAGCTGGACTTATAATTCTTAATTTTGTTATTCAAATCTTCTGAATTAGGAAATCTTAACCTTATATATTTTCAGTAGTGCCCCAAGGGAGAAGATACTTCAGAGAAAAACAGAAAATTTGTGATATTTTTGTACGTGACAAACGGGAGAGCTATCCATCACTACGTCACAATCCATTGCCAAACTTGCTAATTTGAGATTCGCATAGCTGCACTGATCTCATATATTCAAACATAAATAACTTTCTTAATATAGGTTTTCCCGCCCAACTTCGTAAACTTAGCATCCGAATTAACGTTACGTTCGTTCAAATTCGTGCGAAATTGAATGACTATGTAGATCAACATTCAAAAAGCTAATTGCGTCATTCAATTTGATTTAGTAGCATGCGATTTCATACTCTTGTCACGGAAACGTGCAAAACGAGCATTCAATTTAGAAAGCGTGCAAAGTGCATTCAAATTCGCGCCGAACAGACGGTGGTATGTATTCAAGCATTCAATTTCGTGATTAGGCATCCATATGTGACATTTGTGCATTGCTTTTCATTTGATGTTAATTTGTCACTTAATATACTTCAATCTGTTTGAATAATTTAATGCTATAAGTTTACTTTTAGGAATGACCTGCGTATTTGTTAGCAGATATCTGTCATTACACCAGAGAAGGTGCACAATTTGTGACTACTCTTCTAAGCACAAGCTATATACACAGATCCTGGACAGCGGTAGAGTTGAACTTTAGACATGGACATGATGGAAACAAAATAAAATGTTGAATAAAGAAAAAGACGTAAAATGAAAAGAATGAAAGATCACCTACTCAATCAAGATTAATCAACACAAACCATTATAAAAATAACATGTATAAAGAAATGTTTCAACAAAAATAAAGATCAAAAGAATGAGAAAACTTTAAATGCAATATAAATATATCGGACAAATAAGAAGATTGTAGTATAATGTGAAATCATTTCAGAAAAGATCACAGAAGAAAAAAAATGAAAATGAAAAAGTGAATATCCGAATATAAATCGAGCCTCATACAATGATTATGAGGTCTAGTTTTAATTTGAATGACCCGATTGCGAAAGAGGTTGCCCATAGACGAAAATGAAACCGCAATTCGCAAAAGAATTCTCCTTCCACTCAAAATTGGTGAAATTGAATGACGCTTACGCATTTCCAAATTGACTGAACCAAGCTTTAATTTGAATGTGCATGTTTAGAAAATTTGATGACTCGAAACGAAATTGAATGCCAAAAGTTTAAAAATGAAACAGGGGAGCAACGAGTGGAGAAAATTCGCTCTAACAGGAATGCACGTTAGTGAAATTGATCGCTGCTTTGACGAAATTGGCCGGGAAAACCTATACTATCCAATTTATTTCAAACTTTCACCATGCTTTTTCTCCGATATTTCTGCTTTCATTCAAATAAACTTGTTACAAGGGTTGGATTGGCCTTTAATAATCTTGCTTAATCCCACATATAATCAATTAAATTACAATCTTCTTAATTTCCTCTCATTACAGTCAAAATAACTTTAGGACTACCAGCAAACTAGAGAGATCTCTCCATTCCCAGCTAGTTTAGTTTAGTTAAGTTTAGGAGCTGTACTCTTCAATTTGAGCTGATTTTCTGTTTTATGAAATTCTGATCTTGCTCAGTCCCACATGTATACATCCAATGGCGATCCCCTCTAATTCTTCTTACTCTAAGAACAACTATACCAGATACAGATTCACTGCATGGCCTTGAAAACTATCATCAGAGAATACAAGA